ACAATGGACCTTCTATGTACAGTAATCTTAGCCTGAAGGTTCTGCACAATGGCTTGACATAATTGAGTTCATCATTATCGGAAGCTTAGAAGTTCAAAAGTTCAAAGTTCCTCAAAGGGGCACTGTTTAACTTTTTTGGTTGGGGGTTCATCACCTTCTGGATTCTGTGGATTTGTCGTCGCTCTGTCTGGAATGTCCCACAGTGTGACATTAAACAGCTCTACCTTAAGTTTATTCAATAGGAGGGTTTCAGTCACGTGATCACGATGATGCGCGAATTTCAGGTGGAGGGCAGGAAGTGAAGACAAACACGACAAACACGGCTCTGGAGAACACAGATATGGAGAAGAGTTCTTATTGTAAGGATTTAGAGCCAGTAGCGAGGCAAAAGTACGAGCAGTTAGTCGACAAATATATTGGGCGTGACCCCGATCTTATTGAAAATGAGAGAATTTGCCGAAAATCGAGGCAGAGGATATCACGAACTATTTAGCTCTTCAGACATCGTTCTACACCAGACAACAGATGAAGGCAAAGTACAAAAGTTTGGAGGCATATAACTTTTTTTGTCAGTGGATGGGTCCTCAACCTTGGTGCAAAACGCCTAAATGATGATTATCGTTTGGTCTTCGCCGGGGTGAGTGTTTCTCTTATTTTATGTGTATAGACGTTATGGGAAAAACTGCAGTGTATCGGCACTAACCTCTATCTGAACTATTTAATGTCAACAAACGTCGTTAGTCGTTAATGATTCGTTTATGTTTAGGTAAACCACAAAAAACAATTTAGCTTTGTAACAAACCTTTGACGAAGTGGTCACTGCAGACACGAGCATTAGCGAATTCTGCTCCTCCCGACAGCAAACAGGTTTGTAAACCACTTTTTACGGCGTTGTTCTGTCAGCTTTTCCCATTTCTGACCTTTGTGGACGACTATCTTCGGTACTCTAAAAAAAATCGCTTTTCCTTCTTTCGGTTAGAACGATTGGCACAGCCGTAAACTACACAACACATCAGCATTTTCCTCCAGTCGGTTCACTTCCTGCCCTCCATCTGATTTTGCGTGCTGACAAATGTAGCCCTGTGACGTCATGTGAAACCCAGCTATTACAACTGGTTTTATAGCACAAAAATGCTTATAAAAACAGGCATTCTGACTGTGAGCGAAGACGCCTCTCCACAGATTTGACCTGTAACTTGGTCTGGTTTGGTCTGAATGATCTATTGTTTTGGACCAAAAAATGCAATCTCAGGCAACACAATTTTGAGAGTGTCAAAGTCGTGTTTTTTTGCAGTGATTCTAAAACCCAATTTTAAAGGAGAAGTTTAGTTCTGCGTCCACTCAACGCACACTGCCGCCGTCGCCTTGTCGCCATCGTTTTTGATTTATGGGTCTGAACACTCATATTTCATTGAATCGTGTTCTTTAGTCCGACAGAAGCCGAACCGCATCAGCAGCACAAGGAGCGAGCTTTTTTTTTCAGCGCTTATAGTTTATGCAAATTACCCATGTGGTTTTAAGTTTTGTTTCTGTAAAATGTGCACAAACTATAGGCGACTTTCATTGTTGACAAAAGCGCGCGTTGCATGCTGGGAATTATTTTGGTCAGCAGCAAGAAACACTAATTCAACATGACGGACGGAGCGAGAAAGCACGTAAAGGGTATTGATCCCGGTTATTTATCCACTCTAACGGCAGAGGACCCAAGACGATTTGACCAGAATTTGGTCATAAGCATCGACGGAGCCAAATCACCCTTTTCAAAACCTACAAAAGGTGGACCAAACCAAATTTCTGGTCTGAATCACCAACTACCTGGACAAACATTCACTTTGGCGATATCCACAATTTCTTGGTGGAAACTCCTGGGCCATTCACAGCAGAAAAGATGAAAACCTCCAAGAGTCTCGATACGTCGTTGAACTTGTTGGAGTCCACGGTTTGTTAGGATCTTCTACGTTTGCTCTGCGGATGTTTGAAAGCCATTTAATTCACCGTTGGGCGGTTCTTTTCACTCGGAATACAAAAAAGACATTTTCCTTCTTCCGTGCTTCTATTTGTGCATCCGATAATGCAGCAGGAATTTACAATTATCAGGGATAAATACGCGAGGTTACGCACTGTGTTTGACCGCTTTCGTGTTTCTTGCTTCCGACCAAAATATTTCCCAGCATGCAACGCGGGCTTTTAATAACAATGACGTCAGCTGAAACTCGCCTATTCAGCATGAAGTAGTCAGTGCGGGACTCTGGTATGATGTAAGTTTCTGTGATGTTTGCAAATTTTCATGTGCACTAAAACTTGATTTGAAAAAAATCGCAGGATGAAATCGAAATCACAATATCTGCCAGAAAAAACCTATTTAATGTTTTTCTTGAAATTGTTCAGCCCTACTGGAAAACATTTCAGAACAAAGCAATAACATCTTCATGAAGAAAAGCCTTTGACTGACCCTCCACCAGAAAAGTTACACAATGCATCTTTAAATGCCAACTCAATGTAACAGTATTCTAAGTGTTCAGAATACAGTACTCTGATTGGCCCATGTATCGGAATACTCTACAAAATACATTTTAACGCAGGCATATGCAGTTTCCTGTAACCAAATACAGAAACTTTATGGGCTAATTTGGTTGCCTAGTATATTTTTTGGTATTCTTTGTAACTATGGACCGAGTAGGATAAATAAATAAATATTGTTTCCATCACCTGCTGGTCTCACTGTAGATGCGTTTGCTTTGCCCAGAAAGTTCCACAGTGTATCTTTTCTGAGCCAAACACACGGCGTTTCAAGCAGGACGCCTGTGCAGTACCGGCTCTGTGTTTTTCAATGGGGAAGCCGTTCAGACCTTCAAATGAGCCATAACAGCCCCAGGAATACACTGTGCTGGTGGTAATTGCACAAACATAACAGATGCATGCTCTCTGTGTGTTTAGAATGAGACCCACGCCCCAATGTCCCTATAAAACGTGTCCAAAATGTGTTTACACTTGCACAGGGATGAATATTCAGTGTGTCCTACCTGGGCATTAAAGGTTCTATGTTACACAAAATTGAGTCTTGTGAGCTTTGAGTCATGTTATAATGTTGTTACCTCCTCAAAAACAGACCTGGAGTTTTGTTTTGTTTCATTCACACATGCAGTTTTCACGTTAAATCACCTTTTACTTTTTGTTCACTGTAGATCGGCAGTTACAGGACTACAGATCATCCAGATTACTCTAGTGAAGATGTATGGAGTTTAAAAACACAGTGGAGCACTTCCTGTATCACCGCATGACATCACAAGGTGGAACAGAGTGTTTTATTTTTGAGTAAAGAACGCCTAAATATGCAGGGTTTATGTGTTAAACGTGTGTGAATGAAACAAGACACAACTCCAGGTACGTTTGTGTGTGCAAAACTATGGAAATATCGATATATCGTATGGTTTAATTTGATGTTACAGTATCGATATCTTGAGTTGCTGTATTGATATATCGCCGAGAGTATTTTTTGGTATATTTTGCTAAATTATTTTGTTACAGCGCTACAGTTTTGTTGCTTGTTCAGAGAAAGGAAACTCAATTATGCGACACATTTGACATTTTCACTGTTTTGTTGATTAAATTGTTTGTGTTTCATATTCAGTTTACACAAGAAGTGGTTTAGCAAAGACTTTGAATATCACAAACATGATTTAGCCTTTATTTTTCATTGAACCGTATCAAATCGATTTGAAATATATCGTATTGAATCGTGTCGAAAGCTCTCTGTTCTAAGGTATGTATTGTATTGGCAACTTCTGAATGATACCCAGCGCTAGTGATGACGAAACATTATAGCAGAGATAAGAAAATAGTGTACCGTATTTTCCGGGCTATTAGACACGCTCTTAAGCCTCCAACCCCATCAAAAAACAACTGCACGCCCCGCAATCCAGAGTGCCCTATACGCAAATCCACTCCCAGCACGACTTCAGTAAACTACAAAGCCGCACCACCCGCAGCGAAGGAGGAACGAACCGAAAAAGTGAGTGCAATGTGCCACCTCTAGACACAACTAAACAACTGAGTCACTGCGAACACGCCGACAATCCAGCGGTCCCAGACAGCACCCTCCCTACACGCCACAACTGAACAAAGCCCAGAGTCACCGGGAACGCGCCAAACAAAGTCCCACTGACCCATCCAACTGTTTTAAAATCCGGTGCAGTTTATTTGTGAAAAAAGTTCGAAAATAGACCATTTAATGACAGTGCGCCTTATAATCCAGAGCGCCTAATAGCCCGGAAAATATGGTAATATGGGCTCTTTAATTATAATCATTCACAATATTCTACCTGCGCTCAATTTCAATTTCTCTTCAGTGACTAGGTCAGGAATCGGAATACACTAAACGTTTCGCAAAAACCCCAGAAGTTCAAGTTTGAGCACCGGCCAATCAGCGAAGAGCCATACATTCTGTGTTGGCAACAATTCCCAAGATCGAGGATTTAAAGCCGGAACAAAGAGAATGTTCGGTGAATTTTACCAAGTGGAAAGACATTATTGCTCTTCTTCCTACCGGATTTGGGATAAGCTTAATATACTAGTTAGGCCCGTTAGCGGCGCATTACATACATCACGATCAAATAGCAACGATTGGTTAAATTAAAAAAAGTTTCCGCCTACCGTCGAGCAAACAAAATCTAACTCTGCGAGGTCAGACGGTTTCCATGAGGTGAAACCGGCTGATGAATCAGGCTAGAGTCGTACTTGCCTATGATTGTAACCATGAACTGCTAGTGGGTGAATATTGAGGATGAATTTGCAGTCGAAGAAGGTGGTATATTGTTCAATTTTTGTGTGTGTGTGTGTGTGTGCGTGTATGGAATATATTTGCTTTATTTGATTTGTTGTGTTTGCACAGTGATGGCCAAAAGAAAGAACAGGCTCTACTTGGAGTGCGAGACAAATATATGAGATTTCAGTTCATAGTTTTCCTGGCTAACTCTCTCTCTGTCTATTTTTTCTTCCAGATCACAAACAAATACATCTACGACTCCGTGCTGCTGTTGGCCAACACTTTCCACCGTAAACTGGAGGACCGTAAGTGGCACAGCATGGCCAGTCTGAGCTGCATCCGCAAAAACTCCAAACCCTGGCAGGGAGGCAAGAGCATGCTGGAGACTGTCAAGAAGGTACGGAGAACGCCAACTATCGCACACAAAAACAGATAACCAGGCCCGTCGACAGAAATTTTGAGGCCCGGGGCAAAAAACCTCACATGGGCCCCACTCCAATATTAATTAACAGGCTGAGGTTCCAATTCTGGGCTTATTAGATCCTTTGTCTGTCCCCTATCAGCTCTTCTGCAGATAAAAAATACATGCATGATTTTAGTTAATGGAGCTCAAGAAAAGTTTTTCCTCTAGACTTTAAAAAAAAATCAAATATTAATAATTCAAAGACGTCACAGAGTCTAACTAGGTTGGGTTGTTTTAAGGCCAGAAAGGATGTTTGGTAAGATTCAAGGACAAAAAAATAATAAAAAAATGCACTCTACTTACAAATATCTAAAATAAAAAAAGATAAAATTGTAAAGAGGCACTCCTGAGTTTTATTTCTGCAATTTCAGGATGGTTCCTTGAGTTTTAAAACAAGGTATTTATGAATAGATAGAGAGAGTCACTGATGTTGCCTGAAACTATTATATTGCATTTTTTGGAGGTCACTGAAAATAGAACTACTGGAGACACACAATTGAATCCAATCATATTAGTCAGAGAATGAAAACAATGCGGAAACAACAGTCTGTGATTATTCCGGACAGTTCTGTCATGGCGCAACGTCAGAGCGTGGGAAAGGACTAAAAAAAACATATCTGAAGTTGTGTTTTGTTTCATTCACATGTGTTTTTTGTGATGTCATGTGGGAAAGCAGGAAACACTCCACTGCGTTTTTAAACTCCTTGCACCTTCACTTAAATAATTTTGATACTGTATTTTTCAGACTATAAGGTGCACCAGACTATGAGGTGCAATATCAATAATGTTGAATTCTCTCATTTATTTTCATACATAAGGCGCACCGGATTATAAGGCGCATTAATCAAAACAAACGGACGACACTTGAGACTGATCCCTTAGCCCAGGCTTCTACGCTCCATTGGCAGATCCTGGCGTAACTCGCCCGGCGTTGCCTCCCTGCCTTGGTGAATGTGTATTACTTTCCGAGGCTTCTAACTAGTAGCCGTACTCCTCCGACAATCCATCAAGCGTTGTGGCTTCGTAGTAAACCCCTGCAGGAACCCGCGGAACCCAGCACAAAACAATGCAGCGCAAGACACATTTTGAAAGCTCACTGTGTGCGGGTGGGAGTGGGACTGCACAATGCGGGAGCAAGCAGATGGGATGATAAACTACAGTCCCACAAACTACAGGGGAGCCTCAAGGTCTTAAAAGTCTTAAAACGTCTTAAATTTCATGTTCCTAAATTAAGGCCTTAAAAAGTCTTATATTATGTTGTCCAAGTCTTATTTTTTTCACAAAGGTCTTAAATTTCATTAGCGAGTAGTGCAAACAAACAATACTTAATTTGTCATGTTAGAATGTTATAAATGATTTTTTGACCATTTTACAAGCAATGCATACAACTATAAATTAGTTTTACATGGGATTTTATAATAAAAGTATTTTTTTGTTATTTAAAGTAGTGAGTAATGGTCATTATTAGAATTGGACCTGGTGTTTTTCGCCCACATAATGGGTGCTGTTGGTCTTAATTTTCATTTAAGTGGTCTTGAAAAGGTCGTTAAAAAGTCTTAAATTTGGAGTAGTCTAACCTGGGGATAAATTGAACTAAATACCAGTGTAAAGTAAAATATACAAATGATTAATGTATGCATATCATACATCATTTGTGCTGGATATTTTATTTGGCATTAATAAAAACATTTTAAGCAGCCTAAATTTGCAGATGTGGTCTAATCTCACGCATATTTTAGATAATTCCTTTCCATTCTGTTCCACGCAGACCTCTACTTCGTAGTTTACCTAAGTCTTACTAAAATATTATGACAGATTTTTGAGCACCGTGTATCACATAAAATCGGTTTGAGGTCAGTAAACACAACCAGGATTAATACATAAAGCGCACCAAATTATAATGCACACTGCTGAGTAAATTAAAGGATTTTAAGTGTGCCTTATAGTCCTCAAACGTGTGTGAATGAAACAAAGCACAAGCCCAGGTGTGTTTTTGAGGAGGTAACAGTATTATGACATGGCTTAAAGCTCACAAGAGACCTTTAAATACATTTATTGTGCATTGTTTTACTCTTCACATAAAATCCCTTCCGACTGAACACCGAATTTTAAAACAATCCTTTATAAATCCTCTACCAGCAGCGCCTCTGATCACTTCCTGAACTTTTACCTGACATGCTGTATTGCCCTGCAGCTGTGATAAAATAAACCTGTTCTTCACCTTGAGTTTAGTCTGCTCTTTAGCACCGCTTTCATCACTCTCAAACCCAATTGGATCGATGCCCCGTGTTTTGATATCAATGAAAAACGACTTGAGGGACGACTCTACCTCTGAACGATGAAGCCAAGTGAAATGCTAATTTAGTCTTAGCGTCAGGAGACAATAATAAACGAGGTCTTTCAAATCTCTCCGCGCGCATCACCTTGACACAACGGGAGCGCTCCGCAACGTCGGCGTCGCGGTGGCGGTGGGTGTCCGCCGCGGTAATGGAGTTGTCTTCTCGTGTAGCGTCCATTTTGCGAGTGGATAAGCAGAGGTTCCCCCTTGTGCGGCTCGCGTCGTCTTTTGTAGCGATAGTGATTGGGAGGTGTATTGACCCAGCTTAGCGCTTATTTAAAACAATCAGCGGTGCTCTGGAAATGGGGCAGGTTAAATGGTGGAGTTAACCTCTGTGGAGTGCTAAGGCTGCGCTCACGAATAATTCATGTTGTGGAGTGATCCGTCCGCGCCGTTCAAGGATTCTTGGATAAGACGCCGACTGCTAGTGGTTTTGTCTCCATGCTAATGCTAATTTTGAAATGTGGTGAATGTTAAAATGCCCCAAACCACAAACTAATCCATTTCCAGAGATGTTTTTCCATGCAATAACAAATTTAATAAAATAAGTAAGTAAGTAAGTAAGTAAGCAAGTGAGTAAGTAAATACATACATACATAATACTAGGGGTGTAACGGTACGCAAAATTTACAGTTCGGTGTGTACCTTGGTTTTGAGGTGACAGTTCAGTTAATTTTTAGCACGGTATGGGAACAAAATTGAAAACCATTTGCTTGGTGTTTATTTGTGTTTGTAGTAAACCAACAGTTTGTTTTAGCATCATACAAACGGGGAAATAAAATAAATGCAAAGTGCTGCTTGAAAATACCGTATTTTCCGGGTTATTAGGCGCTCTGGATTATAAGGCACACTGTCATTAAATGGTCTATTTTCAAACTTTTTTCACAAATAAACCGCACCGAACTTTAAACGAAACACAACAGTTCGATGGGTCAGTTGGACTTTATTGGCATGTTCGCAGTGACTCATTTGTTCAGTCGTATCTAGAAGTGGCACATTGCACTGGCTTTATCGGTTCGTTCCTCTGTTCCGTTCCTCGTCCGTGTGGAATGATAAGTGTGGCTGTGGGTGTGTTTCGTTGCGCGGTCGCTGTCTGCTCCGTGTGTGTTTACGTGCGCTGCGGCTTTGTAGTTTACTGAAGTCGTGCTGGGACACCCGAGTGGATTCGTGTATAGGGCGCTCTGGATTGTGGGGCGCACAGTCATTGTTTGGTGGGGTTGGAGGCTGAAGAGCTCGTCTAATAGCCCATAAAATACGGTACTAATAAGTTAAATGAAATATTCTCAAATAAGCAGCAAATGTTTGAAATATTATAAAAAATAAATTCCTTGTAAACAGTAAACAAAAGGCGAAAGGTAAAAGTGAGGACCGTGGTGCAATGACCGTAGTTTCTCGAGGATTCACGAGGTTCAGAGGGACATAGTCAAGGCAGGGGACAATTGTTGTCAAGGTGGTCACCCTAACTGTAAAGTGCTGTGGATGAGTTCTCTCATGAATATTAAAGAGCTGAACCTTCCATGTAGCTGCTGCACATGTAGCGGTGGAATGTAAACACACACTAATTGCGGGAACTCACTTTGCACCAACCTGAATGTCCTGTACTGAAACAGTTTGGCATAAATACATGTACCGTTACACCCCTAGTACATACATACAGTACATAAATACATAATTACAAACAACAAATCATAATACATAAGACAAATCCTATCTATACTTTGCAAGAAAAATGGCAATAAGAACAATCACATCATCAGCTTATAATGAACCAACCAATTTGTTATTTATAAACCTTCAGACTCTGAATTTTTACGATTTAGTCGACCTTTACACTTTGAAAATCATGTTCAAAGTAAACAACAATCTCTAGCCAATATGAGCTCAGACGTACGGCCATGTTTATCAAAAAGAAAATCAGAACAAACATTATGAAATTTTGTATATCTGTTAAAGGGGTGGAACTCGGGATCAGCTGTACAGAAAACCTAAAATTGCGTACCACCTTCCTCCATTTTAAAAAGAAGTTTAAATGTTTAACTCTGGGCAGATACATGAATTATGAGACTTAGTTTGTGCTCTAGTATTTTGCTGCACTGTTACTGATTTATTTGTTTCCTTTTGCTGTATTTACGAATATGAACTGGTATCAAGATGGTTCTATGGCAAAGGAATAAAACATTCAGCATAATAAACTCAAGCTACAGCCTACACCTTTTAGGTCTGTGGAATAATGTCAGAATATACCTGCGACCGAAATAAATTAATCACTCAATCAACATTCATACATAAATACATACATACACATATTTTTATTATATTTATTTATGCATTTATTTTGGGCAAGTAAAGATTTACATTTATATACAATAGAACATATAACATAAGTGAAATTAAAATAGAAATGAAAATAACAACAACAAAAATTAACTATTATTATTATTTTACATACATACAAAGACACATACACATACTCACATACACATATCCATACATACATACACACATACTGTACATCCATAAAACAACAATTATAATAATACATCAAAAAAATACACAAAATGAACCGTGGCACACCTTATTAATTGAACAGTAATGAGAACGCAGTTGTGTCCATTGCTGTAATTGAAGAACTAAATATACTTTTATGTTCTTATTTTGAAAGGATCAGAGCTCCAGTATTAATTAGGAGAGTCTTAAAGGTATGAACATTATCCTGGTGGATTTCAGTGTTTACAGTGTGCTCAAAGAAAACACGTGTTTTGGGAGTAAAAGCTTGTGCGATCCTGGGAGAAAAAAACAATTAAATGTATCGCTGGTACATCTTCATATCATATAACAGGCGCCGCTTATTAATGGAGATGTAAAGGACTAATTAGACCAATATCGCAGCTTTAGGTGTTATATTCATCTGAACTTTCACTAGGGATTATACTGACTTTCTTTTAAGATTTTGAACAACTCTGTGGGATCCAAAGGTAACTTAAGGTTTTGAATTATACAGAAAAAGTCAATGAACCGTAATTACATTTTATTACTGTTTTTGTACCTACGCAAAGATACCGGAATGAAGCAGTTTTTATGAGATTAAAAACAATAACTGCAAGAAAAATGGTTAAATATGACTCATATATGAATGAACTTTCATATGAAGTCCTTTTCCAACTCCTTTTTTTATCATTATTGGGAAAAAAGATATAACTTTCATCTTTGTTAAGGGCTAAAAGTGTGAGCCACAGAGCCCTAAGACGATCTAATCACCTGCCCTGCCCCTGTCAGTGCCCCTGCCCTGGTTAAAGACACCCGCACCATGACTCACTCTAAACTGTCTTGCACCTCTCACTCCCGAAACCAGGGTTAGTGCCACAGTTACTAAATCGCACCATTCACAGGGCAAAGAGGGCATGCCGTACACACACACGCACACGCACACACTCTGCACATTGTTTACGCTCATATCAAAAGAGCTTGGGCTGCAGAAACACTGAGAGGAGCCATGTAAACACTAGAGTCGCAACCTCTGCAAGTTCAGTGAATTATTAATGCATGATTTTTAAATGGTAGCATTGTTCTCCCCAAAAAAATCCACTGCTTAAATATTAAAGGAGCACTGAGGGCTTTAATGGGCTTAAATAATTCTGATACCTGCTTGTCTCCATGGACATATTATGGCTTTGTCTGGAATTTTCCACAGCATGCCATTAAACATACAATTATTGCATTTTATATCATTACAGTTGCGCATCGATTGTTCTTATTCTTCCTAAGCAGGGTCGCCTCTCCTTAGATCTGACCTGTAACTTGGCATTGTCAGCATCTTGTCTTAAAGATAGATAGATTTAATACCATACTGCGGAACATTCCTGGTGAAGCAATAACATTTACTTGACTTCTTATTCGATTGCTTCTTTTTATTGCAGGACTCATCAAAGTTTTCTCATATTATGTTATTTTATCTTAGATCATGTGAACACAAATATGGCGAGTAAACTGGGACTAAACCTGAAATGAAACCTGGACTAGACCAAGAATAAACCAGGGCTAGAACATGACTAATCCAAGTCACCAGACATCAGGACTAAACAAGATTCAAACCATAGGCTGTGTATATGTATAAATGGACAGAGATAACCCGTCACGTAGACCTTTTTCACAACGGCTGGAAGTGCCTCGATGCAGGATAAATGTGACTTATGTTAATGATTTTCTATGGCAAAATATCTGTGGAAATGTCTTGAGTATTTTCCACCAGCTTCATAAATCTGAAATCTAAAAACCAACAAGGTTGACAAAGAAAATATTCTGTCCATGAAGAATTTATCCACAACTATCAAGGTAAGAAAGACGAAAACGTAAAATGATTAAAATATAATTAATAAGTCAGTTGTTAATAAGTAACTTTTTAACTCAAACTGATTCTAGAATTAACATTAAAATTTGATTTACTGATGTAGATATTAGCATAGATACATCTGTGCAGTTCAAATACTACAGATGTTCAGAGATTACATGTTTAAACTGCACAAATCTGTCTGCCTATGCTAATGTCTACATCATACAATCGAATTTTAATTGCAGAATCAGGTTTTGCTCAGGAGTAGTTCACTAATACTCATACTTGGCCTCATATTTACTTTGTTTTATGGTGTTTGTTTATGTGCTGCTTTGTGTTGTGTTGTCCTGTTTTTTGATAAAGCATGTTACCCCCTGTCCCAAGACAAATTTCTCCCATGGGAGACAATAAAGGATTATCTTATCTTATCTTATCTTATCCTTTGTCGACATTGTTGGATGAAAATTTGGTGATGGGGCAGATTTATGAATCTGGTGGAAAATATGCGAAACATTTCCACAGATATTTTGCCATAGAAAAGCATTAATGTAAGTGTTGTTTACCCTACACCGCGTCACTTTCGGATGTTGTGAAAAAGGTCTGTTCCAAATAGGAAGTGAGCTTGAGTGAATTTGTACTGAAAAAAATATTCCCCCTCTCTCTGTAACTACTGCAATGAGCTTGTCATTTTTGTTTTAAGATGTTCGTATTAACCCTCTCTTCCTCTAACCCCCTCTTTTTAATTTTACTATTTTGTTCGTAAATCAATTCCTATTCCTAAAATGGAACTTGGCTCCAATTTCACCCCTATAACTGCTTGCCTCGGTGAGCTTTATTTGACTTTGAAGGGATGTCACTCTCCTTTAGTCCACTATTTTATAAAGTCTATGGCTCAAACTATGATTTAAGATGTGTGGACTCATATTATAGGCTTTCTGTAAAGAGATCTCTGACCCTGTTGGAAATAGTCACTTTAATCTACAATTTATTTCAGTATTTTATGGATTTACCTTTATGTTTCCAGTTTGGAGTCAGCGGTCTCACCAGTTTTCTCGAGTTCACGGACAACGGCACCAACCCCAACATCTTCTTCGAGATCCTGGGAACCAACTACGGAGAGGACAGGGGCCGTGGGGTCAGCAGGGTAAGTGTGCTCCAGCCTTCCCCGTGATTACTGATACTTTGCAGCCGATGACATCAACATTCTCTGGGGGTGTGACGCTAACTGAAAGCACTGCTCTATTAGGCTACGTTCAGACTGCAGGGCTTAACTCTTTCCCCCCTGGACGCCTACTAGGAACAACCCATACATATGTTACTAGTTCTACCCATAGAGCATAACTGCATAAAAGAAAACAGACTGCCACGAGTGATTATAAATTATTTTTACACTCATGAACTTAATTGTAACACAGACATATTTGTATCTCTGGAAACCTTAGACTCTGAACTATTCATTTATGGATGTTTAAATGTGATTCAACTCATTTATAGGTGTATAACAGCTCACTGAAAATGAGAGTTTACCTGGTCAGGTGCAAAATCGAAAACAAAAAACTACATTCAGCATCTGATATCTGCATGTTCTGAGTACTATATTCATAAAAATATAAAAAATATACTTTGTCAAAGTATTTAAACAGATTTCATATCACCAGATACAGTAGAGACAAGTGTGCACCTGTTTTTACCTGTTGTACACCTGTGTGCACCCAATAAATTTTTTTTCATTTAACTTATTCAACTCATTTAGCTTATTCAACTTATTTTATTTATTCAACTAATTCATTTTATTATAATATAATAATATAATAATAAAACTCTTCCCCGTCAGTTTGTGTCCAGTATTTGTCATCTTGTTTACTTTTCTCGTGTGCAGAGCTCCACATAAGCGTTTTTTTCTGTAGTGATTCTGTTATACATCGCATCTTGGAAAAAAAGACTGAAATATTTTAAAGGACTGGCCTGGGCAACATCCAGATTTCAGGGCAATTTTGGTTCATAATCGAGTATAAAGCTCAGATAGTTTGTGTTGGATATCGCAGGACTCCACACAGACGCATCAGCGGCATTCTCACCTTCTCCCCGAAAGTCCGTCGCTATCGCTGTTTTCCACTTTATAATCAACTTCATCATCACTTTGAAATCTATAAAAGTCACTTTCTCTAAACTTATCCATAAAATACGTCCGCTCCTCATTATTTCTAAAACTGTTGCGCCGCAGCGCCGCGATCTTTCCATTGCACGTGTTTCGTGTTGTGTTTTTTCCGGAAGCTACAATCGTCACTATTTCGATTAACTTCGGAAAAAATCGGCGAAAACATATCCTTGAATCCTATTGGTCAGTCTAGTGTGGGTTGTAGTGGCCCCCACCTATCACAGTCTCTGTTTACATGTGAAAAACCGAGCCGTTTCTAAAGGTCGTCAAATCACGTCTTTAGTGATACAGCGGAGGTGTGAAAAGTCGTCATTAAGGGTTCAGGGGGGTCGTCAAATGTCGTCTTCATGGGGGAAAGAGTTAATGCTCAATTTGTTCACATTTCCAGTTAAATGCGACTTGTAGTGTGATCTCCAGTGTGAACTTTCAACGCCCCAAAAGTGTCCCTCATGCGCACTGAAGGACACGACGACGTCACAGGCAGCGAACGTGCTCGGTGTTTATGAAGTAAACATGGACGCGAGCATTGAGCACCTGGAGATTTTAAAGTTGCTGTTGTACCAGAGCCAGAACATGTACAGCTTATTTGGTTTAAGAAAGAGATTGCAGAGTTGGAGACTTACAAGTTGCGACTTGGGACTCGACTTGGACTTGAAAGTCAGTGACTTGGGACTTGACTCGGAATTGAGGCCTGTGAATTGAGAAGACTTGAGAAGCACTTTTAAATCTGAATAATTTCTATTCTGACTGTAATGATTCACACTAAGATCTTGTCAAGACATTCAAAAAGGAAAAATTAACTAAACTAATTTCTTCAACTCTATTCTTATTTAAATATGCTTTGATTTTTTAAAAGTACAATTTAGTTTAAAATTCAATATAAATTGCAAAAATCTAAGCTCTATTTGGTACTTTGGTTTAAAGACTTGAAGCTCAAAGCAGACGACTTGGACTTGACTTGGACTTATGGGGCAGCGACTCGAGACTCGACTTGGACTTGCTTCTATTTGACTTGTGCTCTTGCTCGCATTTGAGGCCAAAGACTCGAGACTTACTTGAGACTTGCAAAACAATGACTGAGACGGAGAAGGACGAGGTTTTAGGCCGCGGCGTTTTGTGGAGCAGCGGCACCAACGTCCGTAGAAAGGAACGTGTGGGTTCAGAGTCAAGAGTGTTGACACTGATTTGTGCTTCACTGACACGGAGTTTATACACAATTTTCGTATGACGAGAACATTTGTGTACATTTGCGACCGTTCAAGACTAAAGTCGCATGCCAAAAGATCAGATATGTATCGGTTTTAGGAGCACATATCCAAGTGTCCTGGGTCGCATTTGAAAAAATCTTATCTATGTCGTTCAGTCTGTCATTAAAAGATCAGATACAGGAGCATAGGGGTGAAAAAATCTGATTTGGGTCACTTCAGGCTGCAGTCTGAACGTAGCCTTAGAAGCGCTGTTACACAATTTAGACTTACTCTGAGTTTTATTTGAAAACAATCTAACCAGAAAGATTTGACATGATTGGAAGTGCAACAAGTGAGATGATGTGTGCTCTTAAACGAATCTCTCTCACATAAAATTAGTCGCAAACTAGAAAAGCACTCAGAGAGCGCAGACCTCCGCCAAGGACTACAGCCCCCCTCATATTAATTGTGTTTTCCATAAATATTTGTCTCGTATCTTTCAATTTGGAATATGAAAGAGGATCCCATTGTCCATCCCTGAGTCAAATTTCATGGGGTTTGGTCAATAATTAACCGAGATATTGAGAAACAAAATTTTTGGCCCCATTTACCACAATGTTAACTAAAATTTCAAAGTGATCCAGAATCCAGGATTTCTTCCGGATCACCCCCAAAATGAAGGCAAGGCAAGTGTTTTTGTACAGCACAATTCGTACACAAAGTAATTCAAAGTGCTTTACAGAATAAGAAATACATTAAAATCATAATAAAAACAAGTCAAAACATAAATAATCATAAAGATTCAAATTAAAAAAAGAGAGATATAAATTAGGGAGAAGAGTGCGGAATAAAAACCTTTCAGTTATTTGCACAGTTAAACAGAAATGTTTTGAGCCTGGATTTAAACAGCGTCACAGAAGAGTCTGTCTCACATGTTCAGACTGTTCCAGGTTTTAGCTGCATGAACCTGAAACTCTGACTCCCCTTGTTTAGTCCAGACTCTGGGCACCAGCAGGAGGCCGGTCCCTGAGCTCCTCAGAGTGCGAGATGGTTCATATGACACTAACATGTCACAGACGGACTTTGAAGGACTCACTTTTACCTTAACAGGACCATGAGCACTTGTATTGATCACAGGTTCCTGCAAATGTGTCCTTTAAATCCATTTTGTATTTTTCTTGAGTTTTCAGACTTCAAATATTCGTGTCTGTGTTTGCTAAAGTCTGCATTGTATCATCACGGTAAACGCTGAACATTCCGCCAATACAGATACATGTAGCACACCCCCAGCCTGATGTCTCTGCAAAGTATCAATACAACTCATGCACCCATTCAAAAAAACACACAAGTCCAGCCACCTTCTCACCTTCATATTGGACGTAGCTGTTTATTTTAAGACACGTGGCTGCCTCGCGTGTGAAAAAGCGCGCTGTCACTTTTTCTGTGTTTTTCCAAAAGGCTCCCAGACACTTTTCTCGCCGTGGTGCTCGCTCGCTGGTTATTCCTTTGCTTGTTTCTCTGTGGAAATAACTATTACCAGGTGCAATGTTCTTTCTGGAAAATCACAGGAAACGATTTGGGCGCATTCAGGCTTTTTTATAACCGCAGATGTGTGCAACTTCAAATAGTAATATGAATGAGAGTGTTATTTTTTAGTCTATGTACAAATGTATTTTTTTACGTGGTAGTGGTTTGGTGGTTTGGATCCCATTTGGGCCGGAGTTCACTGTCGCTGAACCTTGAATGAAGTGTGTTATTTTGCAATTGATGGACACATAGATGTTGAGCAGCGGTAAAACGGGCACAGACTGGCACTCTTGCTACTGTCAGTGTTCCCCGAGGCAGCACTTTTGGACAGTGTTGGGGAGTAACAGATTATATGTACCAGAGTTACGTAATCAGAGTACAAATGATGAGTAACTGTATTCAGTTACAGTTACTGTTTCAGTGAGTGGTATTTGGATTACAGTGACTTTGTTGAAATAAATGGATTACACAGAGGTGTTTTCCTGTTTTCACATTTTGGGCTAAACCAGGATTAAAATCAGGATTAAACCAGGACTAAAACCAGGATTAAAATCAGGATTAAAGCAGGACTAAAACCAGGACTAAAACCAGGATTAAACCAGGACTAAAACCAGGACTAAAACCAGGATTAAAATCAGGACTAAAACCAGGACTAAAACAGGACTAAAACCAGGACTAAAACTAGGACTAAACCAGGACTAAAACCAGGACTAAAACAGGATAAAACTAAAACCAGGACTAAAACCAGGATTAAACCAGGACTAAAACCAGGACTAAAACCAGGATTAAAATCAGGACTAAAACCAGGACTAAAACCAGGACTAAAACTAGGACTAAAACCAGGACTAAAACCAGGATTAAAATCAGGATTAAACCAGGACTAAAACCAGGACTAAAACCAGGATTAAAACCAGGATTAAAATCAGGATTAAACCAGGACTAAAACCAGGACTAAAACTAGGACTAAAACCAGGACTAAAACCAGGACTAAAACCAGGATTAAAATCAGGATTAAACCAGGACTAAAACCAGGACTAAAACTAGGACTAAACCAGGATAAACTAGGACTAAAACCAGGACTAAAATCCCAGGATTAAAATCAGGATAAACCAGGACTAAAACCAGGACTAAACCAGGACTAAAACCAGGACTAAAACCAGGATTAAACCAGGATTAAAACCAGGACTAAACCAGGACTAAAACTAGGACTAAAACCAGGACTAAAACCAGGATTAAACAAGGACCAGGATTAAACCAGGACTAAAACCAGGA